CTCCACCAAACCCACCCCCAAAGACAACCCCCACCCCACCCCAAAAAAAAAATAAAGAATTTAAATTATATTATATGATTATCTATTTTTTTTTTAAATATTATCAATATAATTTAATTTATGATAAGTGATAGCAGATTTTTAACTAAGTTAAAATTAGTGCAATTATCATAAACGTATATCTGTAATTGCCTTCTAAATTTAATGTGTTTATTTAATTTTCACACTTTTAGCGTAAAAACTAATCTCTCTTTTATATAGCATATTAGTGTACCCTGTGTTAGAGAATAAAATCATACACACCTTACGGTTAAATTGAAATTTATGATTCTTGACCTCAAGTTAATATATATAATAATTAAATTTTTATAAATATTTTTCATACACATACAAAATTTAGGTAAAAGATATTCAATTCGATTAAACGCGTAGGTTACACGGATCCACCACTACTTAATTGGAGCATCAATTAGTTAGACATTTATTTGCACCAAAGTATATTTATAATAACCAAGCCAATTAATAAATATCACTTAAACTATTATTAGGTACTCCCTTCGTCCGTTGCTTTAGTTTAAAATATTATCTCAAAATAATTATTACTTTAAAATTTTAAAATTAATAGCCTAATGACCATTATTTTTAGCTATATTCTTGACATTAAAGAACTATTTAAAAAAAATATAACTCAATTCTCAAAAAAAAAAAAATCTAATAAGTAGGAGTAACTTAGTAAACTATATTTTGTTCTTCTCCGTCCACTTTTATTTCTATATAGCTAAAAATAGATGTCTACTTTTACTTGTTCACTTTAAAAAATTCAGGAGATAATTTATCAATTATATAGTTCCTAATTTGTCCTTATTATTAACTATAATCATTTCCTAAAATATTGAATTTATTATATTTAAAGGATGACATAATTGAATGTCATTTTATTTATTGCTCTTTAAGGGGTGTGTCAAGTCAATACAAGGCAAGTAAAAAATGAACAATGAGAATGTAGACATCAAAATTTTGTGGAAATCTACAAGACGAGCCTGGTTTTAGCTAGAGTTCTTGAAAGCTACTCTACCATAAACATCAGCTCACATATATATAACATGTAATATATTCCCTTGAATTATGCATCTCGAAAATTCCATTAACTCATGAAATATTCACAAAGAGATCAAAATGTTATCACACTCTTCTGAAAAATCCAAATACTTGAGGATCCACAAAATCTCCTTACACAGAGTTCATATAAATTTTAAGGAGCTCTACATCATCCTAGTCGAGAAAGTTGTTTTAGCCCTCAAATTTTGGAGATAATCAAGAGATAAACAGATTTGTATTCATAATCTTGATAAGTGAAATCATTGTTTTTTCTTTATTTGTGATTATAGTGTATTTTTTATGTTTAAGGAAAAATACAACAAACAAAAAGTATAAATCATTTTTTTTTACAAAAAAAAAATGAGCTAAAACGACAGTTAGAATGAGACTGAGAAAGCTATATACTTGTGTATGAAAAGATACACAAATGTACATCTTGTATCTATTTACTATTTGGATATAACAACTTTGTGGTAGTAACTAATTTTGCATACTCTATTAATTACACTTGGTATAGATATGCATGACAACAACAATACCACTATATTATATGATGAAGATGATCCACTACTCCCACTACTTCCTTCACTCACTTCTCATCCTTCACCCC